TTTTTTTTTTTTTGTATTGTGGATTGAAACAAGGGTACTCTACCCTGAGCTATATCCTCAGCCCTTTTTATTTTATTTTGATACAGAGTCTCACTAAGCTGCTGAGACTGACCTCAAACTTATCATCCTCCTGTTTCAGCCTTCTGCATTGCTGGGTGTGCACCACTGTGCCTGGCTCATATTTTACTTTAAAGTGACTGTTCTGAATCTTGGGCTCCTGCTTTTCTTAACATATGGTTCTTTCTGTCATTATAGTGGCCCGGCTGTTCACCTCTTCTCCCAGCCCACAAATGAGGCATGGCCTGTGTTTTTTTTCATGAAAATGATTAAATACAACTTTGTGTTATAGGTGCCCTAGGACCTGGAATTCCCCACATCATCAATACCAAACTGCTGAAGCACTTTACCTGCTTGACTTACAACAATGGCAGGTCAGGAAAGTTGATTTTGGGGATTTTTGCCTGTGAAGGAGAAAGCAGGTGGAGTATGTGAGTGAGGAGTAGGGGCTTGGGTTCAAGCCAAGTTCATAAAGATGCAGTGCTAAGAGATTGTTGCCATTTGGTGGGTTTCTGGTATCAATTAAGTTGAGGACGTGTGTGTGTGTGTGTGTGTGTGTGTGTGTGTGTGTGTGTGTGTGTGTTGATCTCCCCTATGGAAAAGTTCACTTTATTTTTCATGAATATTTTCTCTCTCTTTTTTTCCCCCGTGTAGTGCTGGGGATTGAAGGGCGTAGCACAAACTATGCAGGTACTCGACTACTGAGCTACATCTGCAGCCCTTTTTGTTTTAAGATAGGATCTCACTGAGTTATCTAGGCTGTGATCCTTCTGCCTGAGTAGCTGGGATTACAAGCATGTGCCACTGTGAATATCTTTTATAGATATTAGCCAGGTGTGGTGGTGAATGCCTTTAATCCCAGAGGTTTGGGAGGCTGAGGCAGGAGGATCATAAGTTCAAAACCGGCCTCAGCAACAGCAAGGTACTTAGCAACTCAGTGAGACACTCTCTCTAAATAAAATACAAAATAGGGCTGGGGATGTGGCTCAGTGGTCAAGTGCCCCTGAGTTAAATCCCCAGTCTACACACACTACACACACACACACACACACACACACAAAAGGTTGCAGAGCTGGGCAAGGTGTTGCACCTATAATCCCAGCAGCTTGAGAGACTGAAGTAGGAGAGTCACAAATTTAAAGCCAGCCTCAGCAACCTAGCAAGACCTTGTCTCAAAACAAAATAAAAAGGGTGGGGGGATATGGTTTATTAGTTAAGTGCCCCTGGGTTTTAATCCCCGGTACCCCAAAAAGAAATAAAATGGCTGTGGGATGCCCTGCAATAGAGATTTACTTTACACACTTCCTTCAAGGAGCCCTTCCTGATGTCCCACAGAACTAGTGCTGTAGAAAAGGGCAAGCCACTCTGAGGACTCTGGGAAAGAAAGCCCATGCAGCATCCCTGGGCTTCCTTCAGCCGTTTGTGTAGTGTTTCCTGCTCCTGAGTGGGCTTGGAAGAAGCAACAGCAACTGAGTTTGGGGTGATTATTATCCTAGCAGCCCTTCTGAGCAGGCAGGGACAGACTTGGAGGGCCCTCACCAGTATGAGATGCTAGCACCCCCTGGGTGCAGGCACAGCTTTCTCTCTCCTGCTCAGGAGGATGCTCTGGGGTTGACTCTCTGCTTGCTGTGAAGCTCTGGCACTTTGGAAGAAAGAAGAAAGATTGATCCAGTTCCTCCTTTCCCCAGGTTGGGAAGGCATTGAATGCTAAGGAATCGGGCTCAGATGTTCTTATTTTGCTTTTGGAATTTAATTTTGTTTCTCTTTTCCTGCCACTGATTTTGCAGTTTACGGAACTTCATTTCAAATTCTATGAAGGCGAAGATCACTGCATATGTGATCATACTTGCTTTGCACATAAATGACTTCCAGATTGACCTGACACTGTTACAGAGAGACCTGAAACTCAGTGAAAAAAGGTGAGCACAGCATTTTGAATAAAAAGCTCCTTCAAGGATACCTTGGTATGTCTCTACACCAACATTAAGGAACCTGGGGGTATTTCATATGGGAAGAACTTGGGACCAGAGGATGGTTTTCACCTAGACATTTTGAGCGCCTGTGTTGGCAGAGTTTTAAATTCCTTCATGCTGTCTCATTAATTTCCCTAAAAAACAATTGAAGAATCTGCAGTCCAGAGCAGTGACTTCCTCGGGTTCTCATAACCAAGAGGGGAGTCAACTGGGCTTCTTCACACCTGAGTCTTGCCATAGCGTCCTGTTTCTGGATTACCAGGCAGCCTCCATTCTCTGAATTCCTATCACTGGGAGGAGGAATTCTTATGGTTCTGAGTGGTACATCCAGGGGTGGAAGTTTCAGAGAACTCACCTTCATCTTAGCAAGCAGAGTTTTCTCAGAGTTGATGGAAGGTCTTCAAGGGAAGGTGAAGCCACTGGTTGGCACGGACACCATACTTAAGCTTCTCTGACTAGATGGGAGTAGGGAATGACCTTTCAGGCTCCTTCTAGCCTTGCTAGAGTAGATTCCAACAATAGAGGGCAGAGCTTTCCAGGATCCTTTTTTTGGTGATCGAGGGGCATTTGACATCAAGGCTCCAGATGGTATTCTAAGCCTGTGATGACACCTCTGTCTACACTTGTCCAGCAGACCATGGAAGGTATTCTGAGGGCTTTCCAAAAATAGCATTGGCACATGCAATGAGGTAGAGAAATAAAACTAGAACTAGGAGTCTGTCAGTTCTAGCAAGTGCTCAGACCTGGTTGCTTTTGTACTTTGGTTATAGGTGGTAAAGACAGTTATTAATAGGGATCTAGAGACCTAGTTTTCCATCACCTGTATGACTGTTTTCTGATGACAACACATTAAAATGAAATTTTCTGATAACTTTGGGAGGTGGGGCATCTTGTCTACCTGCTTGGGACTTGGCCACTTTTGGGATTCTGTCTTTATGGCCTGGAGCATGAATGTGCTACTCCCTCCTGCCAAGCTGTCCTGAACAACCACATTAAGAGCTTTCTTTCCATTTTTCTGCTTGTTTCTTCCTTAGGATGATTGAGATAGCAAAAGCTATGAGGTTGAAGATCTCTAAAAGAAAGGTGTCTCTGGCAGCTGACCAGGAAGAGGATCACAAGCTGGGCACTCTGTCCATCCCACTGCCCCAGGTCTCGGACTACCAGTCAAAACGGAGGAGGATTACCTAGATGTGTGCCTTCTAGACAGCATTTTTGGCCACATCATAGCCACTGCTTCTGTTCACTTCCAGTTTTATTTTTAGGAAGAGGAAAAAAAGAAGCCTTGTTTTGGCTTGGGATGAAGCTAGCATCCTGGTCATGCCTGGCTTATGCAGAAATATAAAGTGGTGGCTAAATTGGACTCAAATTCCCTCTGGTGTTGCTGTGATGGTGTGTTTCTCATGTTGGTTCACCTTTGTGGGGATTTGAAGGGTGGCATCTAGAAAGTTGGAATCAAAAGATTTTACCAGGCTAAACCCTGAACCAAATCTAATGGATGGAGGTTGATAAAGAATCTGGAAGGGCCAGAGGAGGAGGTGAAGAGGGGGATCCAGCACAGCGGTGACTGAAATAGAGGCTTCCAGCTTTATCCAGAGAGAACTGTGGGTTGCTAGTGTGGTTGGGTTGCCAGACAAGCTGATTAGGAGGAGCCTAATCAAGAAGTGATAACCCCGGGCTGGGGTTGTGCCTCAGAGGTACAGCACTCACCTAGCATGTGTGAGGCACTGGGTTCAATCCTCAGCACCACATAAAGTAAAATAAAGATACTGTGTCCACCTATAACTAAGAAAAAAAGAAGTGATAACCCCAGTTTTTCTGTCTGGCTAAGGCCACAGTGAAGTGCAGGGGTAAGCCAGGTGGAGGGTAAAACACTCACAGACCACCTGGCACCTTTATCTGCTCCTTGGAGTTTGGCCTTGTCAGATCTATTGGCAATAAAGTTTTTGGGTCCCTGAAGGAGCCGTTGGAAGAGGCTTGTCTGTCCCTTAATCCCAAATGACCCCGAAGGTAAGCAGTTTAATGTAGGAGTACGTGGGAAGCACATTAGGGATGATGTAGGGGTAATATGATGGTGTTTACAAAAAAACGGTTCTCATTAACTGAAGGACACCGTAACTCCAGTCATAAGGAGATACACAAGAAAGCTCATGCTCCTCTGTGAGAAGCCCTTCTTTGGGAAGCAACTCAAGAAAAAAAGCTCAAAAGACATGAAACCATTCCAAAATGTATCTTGTCCTGAAGAAATATGTAGCCCAAAAGAAAGCAAGTGTCCTAAGAGCTCAGGAGTAGGCTGCTGAGAGCTAAACCAAACCATTTTCAGGGAAGATTATTCAGACAAAACAAACAAAAAACCCACAAAAAATAAGTCCTAGATTTTCTTCAATGGATAGATATGGTAAATTTTTTTTTTTTTTTTTTTTTGGTCCAGGGGATTTAACCCAGGATAGTTAACCACTGAGCCCTGTCTCCAGCCCTTTATTATATTTTATTTAGAGGCAGGTCTCACTGAGTTGCTTAGAGCCTTGCTAAATTGCTGAGGCTGACCTTGAACTCAAGATTGGAATTCTTGCCTCAGCCTCCCAAGCTGCTGGGATTACAAGTGTGTGTGATGGCACCCAGGTATAGCAAAAATTTTAAGAGCCTGAGTAACTGAAGTTGGGAAGAAGTATTTGTGCATCTGAGGACTCTTTGCTGACCATCAAGTGATCTACATGGAGGGCCTATAACTTATCTTCACAAAGTCTCAGGGGACAGGCTGGACTGGATTAATAACCTGATGGTGACACAGGATACTGCAACTCTGAAAGGCAGTCCTTCCAATAAGCTGCCCTGATAAGTGGGTCCCCAGATTATCTCGTCTCCTGTGGAGGAAGTACTGGCACCTCTGGGAAGGTCAGGACCCTGCTGGGCCTTTATCTGACCTCTGGAAACTCCAGCAAGTGTCCAAACCAAAGAAAGTGTCCTCTAATATGCCTCTTTTAAAATATAGAACTTTATTTGGTTACTTAGATTTTCACAAGTTCTTGGTTCACAGAAAAGTCATTTCCTACAAAATAACAAAGGCAGCATTTTGTACAGCGACTCACATTGGGGCCACCAAACAGAAGTGCAAAGGACAGTGCTGGGGATGGGAGGGACCAGCGCTTTTGTGTCTGAAGTCTTCACGGAGAAGCCAGTTCTCCTGGCTCCCTCTACTTCCTTCCCGACCCACCCCACCAGAGCAGCACCTGGGGCCTGACAGAATCAGCCTGGGAAAGTGCTGGACAGTGACCCCAACAGGCTGGTGAAGGCCCCGCTTGAGAGGCTGAGTGGAAGGGGATAGTTGAGGTTGAGCTGGCCCTGCATCTGGACAGCCCCCTCAAACTGTGGGGACCCAGCCCCACTGGCTTTGGAACCCTGATACATTCACAGGACAGTCCAATAAAGCCCTTTGGGAGCTGGCCTTTCTCCTCACTGAGGCCACTACCCCCACCCTAGCTCTGGGCTGGGACCTGGGATACAGATGTGGCCTAACCTTTAGAGTTCACAGGCAAGTGGGTGGGACAGGGTGTGGACCCAGATATTTCTAAAAACAAGGCAAAAAGTGCTCAGTGCCCTGAGGGAACAGCAGAGGGACAAATGGGGCTCAGAACAACATTGTCATCTGAGTGAGGGGAGAGCATGTGGAGATGGCAGTGTCTAAGCTAAACCTTGAGGAATGGGTAGGGCAGAGAAGGGCATGCTGGGAAGAGGAACGCTGGAGCCAAGGCACAGAGTGGGGAACACGGCAAGGCTGGTAAAGGCAGGTGATCACCCACGAGAAGGTGGACATATCCAGGGCCCAGCACCCCAATCTGGACAGGCTGGGGCCTGGAGGGCAGCGGTGGGGGTGCACTCACATGAGGTCTGAACCCTGCAGCAGGCACTGGACTAACATCCTCCTGAGCTTGGGAGCTCCTTGAGGACAGTGGAGCTTCCTGCATCCCTGCACTGCCCAGCCTAACTAGCACCTGCCGCAGGCTCCTGTTTGTAGTATGTCCTTTTGTCATCCCCAGGGCAGCCTTTCATGAGGGACTTCCTATCCCAAGCCCCTTCCTCTCTATAGGGCCATGTCCAAGTCAAAGAGAACTGTTCATAAGGAAGCCTCAAGAGGCAGCTGGGAGGCTGTGGGGGAGACCAGGGACATGGCAAGTCCAGGAAAGGGGGCAATTCTGGAGCAGCTGTCTCCTTCCCGCCAGAATCACTTCCCTCCCTCAGAATTAAATCTCTTCCCTGAGAAGAGTCTGGATTTGGTGTGTGTAAAACAAGGTTCCCTATAACTCAGAGGAATCCTGACTCGAAAGCTTCATGAACTGTATGAGTGTCCCCAACTCTACATAATCTCCACAAGTGCTGGGTGACTGAAAACCCTCCATTTCTGTTCCTTCTTGAAAAGCATTTTCAAGTTCCTTCCTTCTGAGGCCTGTGGAGCTGAAGGGGTCTGGAGGTACCTTGTTCTTAGTCCCCAGAAGGATTGGGTTGTGGTTTTCCAGGGAATGATGGGAAAGAGGAGGGAAGGGTGGAGTGTTCTCAGGCACTGCTTCCAGCCCAGGACCTTTGCCCCAGCTCTTCTGAGCGCCTGTAAGGGCCTGAGCCTGAGGCAGATGTCTGTGCTTACAGGATGGTGCAGAAGATGCTGCGGTTGCTGTGGTAGCCCCCTTCCACACGGGCTGTGATCCTGGTTGCCATGGCTGTCACTTTCTGCCCACTATGGGCTGCAGAGGGGCCCCTGAGAGAGTTTTCCAGATGAGGCCGTGCTGGTGGGTTCACCAGGCGCCATGTGTCAGACCTGGAAGTACAAAAGGAAAGCCAGTGAACTCTGGGAGGTCTGGGAACTTGCTGAACATTCTCATCTTGGGCTCCAGATCACTGGATCCCCATGTTACAATCCAGGTGTAGGTCAGCTGGGGGCAGAGACACATGCCTGTAATCCCAGTGGCTCAGGAGGCTGAGGCAGGAGGATCACGAGTTCAAAACCAGCCTCAGAGGGCTGGGGATGTGGCTCAAACGGTAGCGTGCTCGCCTGGCATGCGTACGGCCCGGGTTTGATCCTCAGCACCACATACAAATAAAGATGTTGTGTCCCCCGAGAACTAAAAAATAGACATTGGGCTGGGGATGTGGCTCAAGTGGTAGCGCGCGCTCGCCTGGCATGCGTGCGGCCCGGGTTCGATCCTCAGCACCACATACAAAGATGTTGTGTCCGCCGAAATCTAAAAAAATAAATATTAAAAAAAACCCAAAAAACCAGCCTCAGCAACTCAGCAAGGCCCTAACCAACTTAGTGAGACCCTGTCTCAAAATACAAAATAGAGCTGGGGATGTGGCTTGTAGAGAATCAAATGTAACTGCGTAACTATTACTGTTCTTGATGGAGTCTGCCTGCAAACGGGATATTCTGTCAAGGTATAGATAAGTAACAGCGGACATGCTTGCAAACGAGGTGTCTGCTGTCCTTGGGAGGGCCTGCTCGCAAACGAGAGGCTTCTTCAAGGTTTAGATAGGTAACAACAAACATGCTTGAAAACG